ATTAGGTAGGCCTCCTCCAAGCTGAAGAAACGGCCCAAGATTTTGAGTTCTCACTGAAGCCCATGCTCAATTTATCCTCTTTGGCGATGTTTCAGATGCACAAGAATACTGTGCCTTTTGCTATTAAAAAAAAAAAAGAATACTGTGGCTATATATATTTGAAGAAATGGGAACTTCTGGTCTGCCAAACGCTACAAATTCATGATGATTGGGCATATGGCTGTTCACAAAGTTTATCTTTGGCTCAGGAAATCATCTTGTCGGGTTAATTAATGCGTAAGATGTTCTTTATTTGGGCTTATTTTGGCTCATGTTCAAGGACAGATTTCAACGTTCGTGGATTCCTACGCAAAAAAAGAAATTAGAAATCGACCTGTAAATTAATTAGGTATTCTGATGCGCAATAAAGCATCTATACCTACGATGTAACTTTTGCAAGGACTTGTTGGGAATCAGTTAAACTAAACATCCCTAGTACAATCTATGTATAAATTGTTGATTGATTTTGATGTTTCACCTATTCGTCTATGGAGATTAAAAGTGCCTTGAAAAATAAATATATTGTGTTTGTATTTGCATAAGGTGTATCAGAACCTTTAGTGTCAGGTGTGTCGTGTTTTAGAGACAACTAGTATTTTTATCTTTGCAACACATGGGTGGAAGTTTAGCAACTGAATTTGCTAGAAGCAATGTCTTTATATTAAGTATTTTGTTGTTAGAGAACTATTAGTTTGCTTCACTGTAAATGCAAGTATTATGATAATTTACGCCCATAAGCATCCTTGGATGTTCAGGCTAGGATTTGTTTTATTTTATTGTCAAAAGAACACTAAACATATGTACTCACCTTGCTGCCACCGCAAATCGTTCAGGGGCATTCAAAGGGAGCTCTAGCCATGCTTTTGCTCAAGGAGGTCATATCAAGGACCGTGATATGGTACGCTTGCATACAAACAAAATTACCACGAAACAAAGAACATTCATGAGTAGATGATCATGGATTCATGACACACGGTGCGGCAGAAGACTTGGTACAACATGCATAGATGCAGTCAACATCAGGGAAGTGGTAATATGATTTGACATAATGCACAAACCATGAACAGTGCCTCTACACTCACCCACACATACAAGGAACGAACATCGCATGTAGGTGTGCTAACACCTCACATGCAACAGCGCTCTAGGGATGCGATAGTGTCAGGTTCATAAACCCGGGGTCCCTCACGGACCGGCTTCCCAACAAAGGTTTGGCCCGGCAGGCAACGTTGCAAACAAACACGCAACTCATGAGCCGGCCTAATTACCTAAACGACAGGCCAGAAGGGCGATCCAATCACCGACCGAAAGGTCTGGCCGAGGAGGAACGGCGCCCGTTTCCGACTTCGGCCCACCTCTCCGACCGGAGCGCTCGCTTCGGTCTCTAGCCCGCCTCCGGACGGCCTCTCCGACCGGAAGGCCTGGCCAAAGCACTACTCCCGACTCCGACCCGCGTCTCCGACTAGGGATGCATCAAACCCCTGCTCACTGTTCTTCTCCAACTGGCGCATTCAGAGCCGACTGGGACTAACCGACCGGGGACGCCTGCTCGGTAAGGACCAAGGAACGGACGGAGAAAGTAAGGCATGGCGCACAAGTCAAACCGCAATACCAGGGACCGTACCCTCCGCACCTGCCAGGCAGTACCCTGCGACTCTCCTGGCACGACAGAACCCAAGCAGTGTTGTAGGCGCCGACATTTTCCCCTACAATATTGTGGGCGCCATTAACTCCCATACGGTAAGCCCCCCCACATGCCTCTGAGCATCAACAGTGTTGTGGGCGCCGGCATTAACCGTACCAGGCGAACATGGTAAAGCCCCTTGCATATCTCTAGGTATCAACAGTGTGGCAGACGCCGACGTCTGCCATACCCGAAGAAGACAACACAACCTCCCACGTGCATCTGACATTCAACAGTATTGTGGGCGCCTACCATCGTCCTGTACCCGCCGGCGTGGGCAACAAGGCTTAGTAGCATACGTACTCTCTCCCTCTCACTTGTAAGGCCATCCCCTTCATCTATAAAAGGGGATGCGCTCTCTCCCAACAGATTTAGATTCATTTAGATCGATCAAGTTCACTAGTACACAACAGCAGAACCACCAGGTTCAAACCTTGAGCACATGCCCGAACACTTAGCACGTAGCGGAGCTCCCGTCGCTCTCGGTCCTTCTGACCAGAGTCCGACCGGACCTCTTGTACCCCCCATCTTTCTCCTTCTCGTTTGTAACCCCACTGCAAACTTTGAGCACCTGAGCTTAGGAATAAAGTCACCGACCGACTCAAACTGGACGTATGGTATGTTGCCTGAACTAGTATAAACCCTGTGTCATTGAGTGCTAGGCCACCTCCGATCACAACGTACGACAAAACTACAAATATTTACTTGTTGGTCACTTTCTGCACCAACAGATAGATTGTCTAGAGTTTGATGGCAATCAAACATACCTTTACTTCCCTCAAGTATTGAAGCACAAGTATTGTTTCAATATATCGATGTCACTAATGGACCTTCAACACTTGTGGCCCATTATGACTAAAAGTCTAATGTATCAAATATATCTAAGCCTATTAGAAGATCCAACGGGCTGACTCTACGGCATGCATCAGGTAGCCATCATCTTAATGTACAACATTTGGATAGTATGACATGATATGTATTCAACCAACTATATTATGAAGCATGGAGTTATTCATATCTCCACTCACTTCGTAGATGTGGGGTCTCCATAGAGAAAGGGTGACTTCAACAACCTCTCAAATCCAATATAAAAACTATAACGACTCACCCAGCGGTAGAGCTGCTGATAACGTGTTGAGAATCGACCTATCCATGGACTGCCAGATCCGTTTTCTCATTCTCAATCCCAATAAAGAGGCGTATATGTGTAGAAGTCGTATATAGATCCCGTCTTCCTTTCTTAATCCTCAAGAACAACACATAAGAACACAGAAAACACACATATATGAGGGGAGCCATCTGTTTATTAGTCATTCCAAGTATACATATAATCCATGAATATAGATAATAGCCTTCAGGGCATATATGGTAACCTACAAGGTATATATGGTATAAGCCCATCAATCCTCTAATTGAGAAATTCTTAACATCTATCATTCTTGTGAATAGAATTTTAAGTCTCCCATTCACCCTCCCCCTTTAGTTGCCATTTTGGTCCTTCAGACCGACATACAAATAGTGATAGTGTGACATTTACTTTGGCATGCCACATATTGATACGTGGAAACATAACTTGTGAGGTTTCAGCCACGGAACAATAGCATGAAATATTATTTTGTATTGGCATGAAATACTTGGGAGAACAAGGTAGAGATCTGCAAAAAAAAAATTGAGAGAAAAGGGTGGAAAAAATCCAAACTAGGGTTTTGTTTAGAAGAAAAGGGAAGCCAGCTCCTCCAACAAAAGGCAAGCCAGCCTTTTTTTTAGGGAAGAAAAGACAAGCCAGCTCCTCCGTGCTCTTGCTTCCTTGTGGTTGTGGTGGAATAATGGGCCAAACAAGCACGCATGTAATAGCTGAGACCTGAGACTGAGATATATGAGCAGGCAAACCACCTCCATCAACTTTTGCGAAAGTCTGTTTTTCCTCTCTGAACTCTAAAACCGAGTAAACCACCTCCCGGAACTTTTAAAATCGTTCATTTTACCTCCATGACCGGTTATAAGCAGTTTTCAAATACGGTTTTATCTTTATTTTTTTTATTTATTTCGGCTGAATTTTTGAAAAATCATAGTAAATCATAGAAAAAACATAAAATGGAAATCTAATTTTTCCACTTTTTTCTATATTGCATGCTGGAAACATTTTAACTAGAACGAATTGGTTCTAGTGTGCTGTTGGTGCAAGAAAGAGAGAGGGAGAGCACTACCCAGCTCAATTTTTTCCTGACGGTCTCTTCCGTCAGGAAAAGTACCGAAAACCGTCAAGAAAGGTCATCTGTGACGGTTACCGTCAGGGATAAGCCGTCAGCGGAAAAACGTCACGGAAAGTCGAGTTTCCCTAACGGAAAACCGTCACTGACTATTCACTGACGGCAGAAACTGTCAGGAAAGATATACAGCGTCGGTTTTCGGTCTGCCGTCAGGGAAGATTTCCCCTGACAGCCAAGAAACGTCAGGGATACTTTTAGCTTTTCCCGTCGGTCAGAGAACTGTCAGCGAAATTTCAAACTTTCCCTGTCAGTGCAGCACCGTCAGGATGAAATAACTTTCCCGTCGGTTCGCCAACTGTCAGCCATGAAATAAACTTTCCCGTCAGTGTCCAACCGTCAGGGAAAATATTTCCAAGTCATTTGGCTGGCAAAATCACTTATTATTTAGCCATTATTATTCTACTGTTCACAGCAACTAATCGGCCACTAAAAATAATATTACAGCAACTGATGTAACCATTCATCCACGCTTAAGTAATAAATATTACATTCAATAATCTTAGAACATCATTCAAGTTGTTCATGAATACAAAGCTTTATAATAATTAGTGCCTCCTAGTCATCCTTCAAGTTAGGGACCTAAAAGGGACAGCACAAGTTAAAAGTGCTAACTTACAATTAGATGCTATCCTCCCAACACAACTAGTAGCTCAGCCACTTCTGCACAAGATAGCCAAAAGAAATCGACATTCCTTGACCCAGGAAGTCTACAGGTAGCAATCTGCTTTTTTATGGCAGTATGCACCCACATTTGCACAAGCACACGCAGTGAATAGGCAACATGCCGCTGCTACTCGACAACTAGCATGCATGCCTTGAAGCGTGATGGAATCCGCATATTTTGCTTCACAACCTAGATATGCAGCAGCTCATGCACAACCAAGATACCTCCCTTGCACAAAATACCCAGCATGACACATGCATGGCCTTCGAACTTTGTTGCCATCAGCTATAGTAGATAAACAAAAGACTACAGCTTCACAAAATACTTCCTGCCATCGCACAACTCAATGGCCATCACTGTTGTCCATGTCCAGGTTGGCTGAAGCACGAGATGATCCATCTATAGTCCCTCCCTACAACAAAAATAAATATACAGGATCATTCCAGGAGGCAAGCATAAATAAATAAAACAGCCTACTGCTGACGCCAATCCTTACAGAAAGCAAGCATGCATCTATTTACAACCACTGAAACACTTTGAACAAATAAAAGGCAGCAGCTGCATAGTTTCATTCACTAGACAAATAAACTAGGACTTACTAGCAGCAACACACATGCCAACAACCAACAAGCAAAAATAGCCACTTGTTCTACAGAATCTTTTCACATGCAGATGAAGATAATGAGAGCTAGTGGTATCTCTATTTTAAGCACATGCACAAGCAAGATACATATTGGTACAGCAAGACAATTTTGAGCACAAGCAGCTGCAGGTGAAGAAATTGTTAATCTTACCATGTCATTTTCTTCTACCTGAAGCAGGTCTGGTGGTATCTCTATTTGTACTTTGTTAAGAATGAGCTGCAGTTTAAGATACATAATTAGTATTTATGAACCTTGAACTGTAGACAGATAGTGCACCAAAACAGAATTATACCTCAAGTACACGACCATTACGCTTCACATCTCGAGTCAATGCAGCATTCTGTTGAACCAAGGCATTGTTTTGATCAGTTAAGCGACCAACGTTGGCAACTGATTCCTCATATCTTGCCAACAGGGTTTGAAAAGCCCTTGAGGTTGCTGGCCTTGTTCCACTTGCCTTGGCAGCATCAATTATTGTAACCATGTTGACAGCACCATTTCCTATTGCAAGGTGACCATGCGGCAAGCCACCACCAATATCATATGCAATTTGACCATCAAAAGGTTGCTCTTGCCAGTCTCTGGATACTTTTCTTGCAATGCTTCATTATAGTCATCCTACAAATAACAGAAATTATTAGTCAGAAACTACATAGGGAAAAGCATGAAACTAGATAGAAGGTGCTTCTACATACAACAAGTTTCTTTACTCGTTCTCGAATTGGGCCAGCATTCCCATTGGCATCACAATTCTTAAGGCCAGCTTTCATGCAGGAAAAAGCATTTATTAATGGTGGGTGCTCACCAGCTAAATCAACTAGCATAGAATCCATCCGATCTGTCTCACCAAATCCCTCATTTTCTACCCCAGTTGATGTAAGAAATAGAAGTCAAGTAACTATTGCTTCTTAACAGGCCGATGGCAATGCAGCAGCTACTGCACATGTCCGGTCCCTCTCTACAACCAAAACGATAAATGGAACCATTCATGAGATCATATGTCATGGATGTAGCCAAGAGATCATACTTTCACAGCAAGTGTAGAAATAGAATCTTCTAATTGCAATTCATATACAAATAGAACACTAAAATAGTCCTATTAAAACATGTATCTAGCACCTCGGTCCGATGCATGTAAATAACAATAGAAGCACCAGACCAAAAATAATTTTGTACCATACAGTAAGAGCCAACGCAGTCAGGGATCTCACCGTTGTGTTACAGAAGTAGGGAAGATCTATGACATTTTGGATGGCACTATGCAGCAGCTTCATTTTTGTAATAACGCACAGCTCAGTGAGGACAAATAAACTGCACATCTGGATACACATCTAGTCGAATATGCCTTTACAACATTAGTTGCTATGAGTAACTGTTCAAGAAGGTGATTGGCATTGTTTTCTGTCTGCATAGTAGTAAGCTCTTTACTATTCTAGCTGTAGTTCAGAAAACTTCAACAAGATAGTGCACTAGAACCTATCTTTAGAACCAAAATGTTCAGATTTAAAAGATTGTCTGTCCAGCACAAAGAATAAGAATATTCAGTCTTGTCACGTGGTAGCCTGATCTTACCATGTCATTTCTTCTCCCAAAAAAACAAAACTGTGCAGAAATCACATACTAAAAATAACTATGCAGAAGTACTTGCTGAATAATGCAAAATGCAGCTGCGCAACACAAGAGGATACTAGTGTGTTTGCTTGCATTATCATCAGTGTACACTTGCAGCTGCAGGAAAGATTATTCAAATAAAATTCAGTGTACTAGCACTCTATAAGGGTAAATTGTGTCAGATGGTGTCATCTCTATTGTGTCAGCTTATGAGTAATTAGATAATAGAGTTGTCTGCATTTGTGTCAGTTGTAGTGAGTCTTGGCACTATCGATTTGAGGGTAGAGACTAGAGACTACAGAATGAATGACCTTATGATTTTATTAATTACTAAGAAGCTCATCTCATTTTGGAATTTTCCCTTGTTTGATTGGCTAGTTTGGAATATGTTGAATATCAGTAGCTACCAAGAAGCTTATCTCATTTTGGAAAATTTTCTATCCAATTGTTGTAACACATAGTTGCATTAGACAAAAATGGCTTCATGTTATTCTGCCTCACCATAATTGCTACAGATCTCTCACAACACAGGACTTGCTCCCACACCTCAACTTGACATCAACTTGACACAAAATCCTAATAAACTTGATAATAGAAAAGGCAGTCACAACATCTCATGTTCGACATTTTCAGGATTTCTCATGTTCGACATTTTCAGGATTTGAGCCACCCTTCAATTTTGATGTGGGCTGAAGGCAAAGTTTAACATAATCATTGAAGTATGTGTGCAGAATTAAAGCATGTAGATGGATTTAGTTGCAAGTTACTGAACCTCAAGAACTATGAACTGACCGAGCGAGATGACATTGTTAAAGCAGGCATGTCCATCTTCATGCAAATTCTTCCAAGTAAACTGACTGCAAAAAATATATATATAATCAAGAAAGAATGTGCGGTCAATAGCACTAATCTTAGTATGCACAATCATATTTAGTGTTTTATATAGCATGAATCAGCAGGTTAACTACAAGCAGCAGGAAACATATAGCATGAATCAACATGATTAACTAGCAATCTAATTCTAAATCTGCATAACTAACAAGATAGCTAGCTAGTAGTGACAAGCAATCAATAAGATATCTTGCTAAAACAGTTATCTCAATACGTCAGGCTATGATATGAACATTAAATATTTATTTAACTGCCAATGATGCCTCGCAAAGTCTGTACAGAATAAAATCCTTCACCATGTTCATTATTGAGCATGAATAGCTGTAGTTCAGAGAAACAAGGTAGTTCCAAGATGCAACTGCAGCCTATATACATGCAATAGAATTTGTAGATGTACCATGCCCACAAAATCTCTACCCCTACTTTCACTTCAAATAAATATTTCTGTAGCAGAGTAACAAATCATTCTTACATTGGCAGATTTCATAGCTATTGCCTATTGGTGAGTTTGACAGCAAGTAACTGAATGAAAGCAATGAAAAAAATAACAATTCAAGAATTGCAATAATCTAAAATTCCAGATTTGCAAAGGCATAATTAAAAAATCTACCAGATCGATTTATAAGGTACCAAGAATAAGTGTCTGCAACGTCTTACCGTAGGGAGAGGAGAAGCAGCGTTGATAGCCTGATATTGCTAGCAACTACGGCAGCGAAGGGTTGCTCACCTGCACCAGACTACTGACACATGGATGCCGCTTTGTCTTGTGGGCGCCCACGCCGCATCCACGCCACCACCCACTAGGTCCTCCACACCCACCCGCAGGTTCGCGTCGCCCATCCCACCACGGAGCCGGCAGCGCCCACGCCTCGTCGCGGCGCCGTCCGTCATGGAGCCGGAAGCCACGCCACGCCCGTCCGTCAAGGGCGGCGCCACATAACAGCCCGCTCCACCAGCGCCCGCCCAGAGGCCCGAGCCCAGAGCACAGAGGCCGAGCCACCTCGGAAGGCGAGGACCGAGGAAGAGCCAGATCTGGGGAGGACAGGAGAAGAGAAGCTCGGGCGGCGCATGGGGGACTGGGGGGCGGGAGAGGATAAGGATGGGGAAATCCCTTGCTTGCGCCTTGTGCGCTTGCCACCATGCTGCTTTTCTTTTCGCCTCTCTGTCTCTGCTGCGTGGACCGATCCTTTTCCGAAGCCTTGCGAGTTCTATTTTTCGGCCTTGCATGCAGCGCCCCGACGGTGCTGACCCTTTCCCTTCGGTATATGGAGAACGTGGGGAAGAGTCAGCGTTCAAGCGGAAGGTTGGGGACCGAGGGAGTACTCCGTGCAACGGGAAAGAACTGAGCTAGGGTAGTGGAGGTTTCTGTTTTGTCTGTACAGCTCCCCGTCTGGTGCCTGCATTGCATGCATGGCCCCTTGCGCATGTAGCAAAATCTCATGAGTTTCAGCATCTACCCACCCACCCTTCCTCTCTTCTCACGATTTCTAGTATAGTCGGTGAATTATTTTTTTCTTTTGTTTCGGTTCACTGTTTCAGAGCACTTTTTTTCCAGAACCGTATCTAATATCATGTGCTTTGAAATTATTCATCAAATCTCTTGTGTAGCAGTAATATATTAAGTCTTTTAATCCGTCTTTTTCAGCTTATTTTTTCAGCCGGGACAGTATTTTTCTCTCACAACAAATCAGCCGGAACAGTGTTTTTTCAGTATACAAAAGTGGCTTATTCAGGTTTCAGTTTTTGGAATTTCTATGTGTATGGATAACAGGATAAGTAGCCTTGATACATTTATTCAAGAGTCACTATTTTTCAGAGCTTTTTATGTTTCTGAATCAGATGGCACGAAAAAGGAAAAATTGTACAGAGCATGCTGATCATGCATTTTCTCTAAGAGGAGGCCAACATCGCAACTTTTAAAATTTTAAAGATCTAGAAGATAATGATAATGTAAGCGTATCATTTCTCAAAATCCTATTTTTATATTAGTTTTTACATTCTTATTAGTTTTGACATTTCTTTTTTTAGGCTAGTCTGTTTGCCACACATTTAGAAATGTTGGACAAGTTTATTGACTTCTGTAAGTGGAAGGTATGTTATCATTGATATTGAATACATATGGATTAAGATTTTTCATTGACCAATGGAAAAGTCACCGTGCCACTGAATTGTACCGTTTTTATTGATACATAATATTACTATGTCACATGTAATCTGATCATTATTACTATTTCATAGTTAGAGAAAGTGTTATCAACTTTTCAGAGCACTATTGAATCAAGAAACATTAATCCCTAATAGAAGTTGGGTTCACTACTTGGTTTAAGAAAACTGAAACAATGTAATAATGGGAGAGAGACCAAAATTAAGCACCATACAGTTACCTGTTCTTGCCTTGATCTGATTTTGACATTTTTCTTCATTATGGTTCCAATTCGTTGTTCCTATATAATGAAATGAAAGATATTTATATTTTTAGATCCCCTCTCTAAATGAAATGCACTTTTTTACAATCTATGATTATCTGAAACGAAATCTAGTTTTCTTTAGGTATACCTGCATATTAATGAAACTGCATGCATTTGATCTTTTTTCAATCATCTGTGTAACTGTGTTGTATCCATTCCCGAAGTTGTGTGTACCTGCATATAAATGAAATGCACTTTTTTCAATCATCTAATCAGAGCTCGTACAGGCAGATCAGGTGATCACAGACTATGCACGATCACATACTAGAGCCCACGGACAAACGTCATATCGTCTTGACATGAGAAGGAAACGTTTGGTGCTTCTATTGGCATTTGGAGCGGCCGTGCAGATTGCCCGTAGAAAAGAAGGGTGAACAGAAGGGACAGATAGATTATTATATTACTCTATATGTGATTCCTATTTCTGTTCTTGTTCTTCAGAGCATCAACAGCAAAGAGCTGATCTGATATTTGTATGTAGACAAATCCATTAAGAACAGGATGATCGAGTATGTTTTAGTGAAGGATTTTTAAGTACCTTTTCATGATCTATTTCATTCGCATTTTGTTGGGTTGGCCTTGCATTATGGTTGGCTCGAGCTTCTCTTTGTCTTCATCATTGATTCTATTCTGTAGATCTGTTTCAGTATGTCCTTCCTTTTATTTTTTTTTCTTGGTCTCCAAGTTGATCGCGTTCGGTTAGCTTGCCAAAAGGAATCTGAGTGGTTGGATATGTAACGTGACTTTTTGTGTAAGTTGTTGCGTTCGGGCGGAGAGGGAGGACCTGGTTTGTTATTTTATTATATTTTTGCGTTCATTCATTTTTTTCGTTGTCATTTTATATAGATGACGTATTTAATTAT